GGCAAGATGGGCGAGAACAGCGGCGCGCTGAGCGCGCAGGCGGCCGTGGGGCCGGGCGGTCGCGCCCGGCCGGAGGTGCGCTCGATGGTGGACGTGCTGGCGGACCACGCGGGCGAGCTCGTGCGCACCGACAGCCCCAACTTCCTCTGCTCTGTGCTGCCCTCGCACTGGCGCTGCAACAAGACGCTGCCCGTCGCGTTCAAGGTGAGTGCGGGGCCCGGGGCGGGCGGACACTGGCCCTGGGGATCCGGGCGTCTCAGCTGCAGGAGCCAGGGCCCCGGCAAGGGAAGGGAGGGGACGTGCCCGCTACCCCGCTTAGAGAGCCCAGCGGCCGGGCCCGGGGCGCTTTCGGTCTCGCTGCGCGCTCCGCCCGGGGACTTTGGCGTTCCCTCTCGGATGCACCGGCACGGATGGCTTTTAGGGGGGTTGCTCCCTCCACCTTCGGGGAGCCCTGCTGAAAGACGTTGATGAGGAAACGGGCGGATGGGGCTTCGCTCCTCTCCAGACCGGATCCCTCCGACACAGCCTTGCAGGCAAAGGGGAAGAAGAGCCCCGGGACCAGGGCGAGGACACCGGAGGTGGGGTGCGGAGGGTGGATAGGGCCTACCCTCCACTGCCGGCACCCCTCCTCCTGCACCGCTTCAGAAACACTTCCTGCTCACACCCTCAACCACTGGCTTCTGAAATTTTACACCGGGCGACTCTAGGGCTGAGAAGGGGGGCACCGAACCCTAAACGTTTGCGGCGGGAATCCCGAAATGGGGGGCGCCCCCACTCCTGGCAGCCCCCAGTCATTCAGAGGATCTTTTTCTCTTTGCTAGGGAGTAGGCGACTGTTTCATTTTCATTTTTTTAAGGGGGCAGCGAGATGAAACGAAAACGCCTTGGTTTTCCCCTAAACCTCTCACAGCTGCCGTGAGAAAGGGCAGGGCAGGAAGGGCCAGCGGCTGGGGGTGGCGGGTGCCCGAGGTGGCTGGAAACAGCGGCTTCTGGCAGCTGAGGCCGTCCTTGCTCCCATTAAGAGGACTCCAAATTGGAAAAAAAAAAAAAAAAAGGATGAGTGGCTCTTGGAGGTCTCCCGGGTGACATCTTAAAATGCCAGTGGGGAAAATCTCCCGGGGAGGAGGGGGAGGGGGAGGCCGTGTGACTTTAATCCTCAGATCGGAGGTTTTACTGTCACTTGGAGCTTAAAAGGAATCTTTGAAATTAAAAGAAGACAGGATGTTGACAGGAAATCTGGCCTTTTTAATCAGACCCCAAACATTTTCTCCTTGAAATTTTTACCATCTGGATCCCTAGTCCCTGCACGCGGTGGCCACGTTTAAATGGCTGTGACTACATTTGCAGTGTGATTCCTTTTCAAAAGGCATCTGCCTCTACACACTGCTTGGGGTCGGGGAGACCGTATGGGGGGGGGCATCTCCACCCCCGTCCTGCAATTCCCAGCAGGTGCATCCTTCTGCTATCGAAAGCCCCTCTCTCACTTTAAAGAGGTTTTCTGTACAACCCCTCTCAAGACACCGTTTTGTTTTGCATTTTGCATTTTCTCTGCATAACGAATTCCGACTCTGCAGAGGCCAGCAAACTGGGCCCAGGCCACATTTCAGGGCCAAATTTCATACCCCAAACGGCTCTTGCATTAATTGAGCATGGGGAGCAGTCCCGTTATTATTGTTGTTGATACTATTTTTACTTAGAGGTTTGGTTGCTAGGAGCATGTTGATTCCTCTTTTGCTCAGGCCCGAGGAAAGAGGGGAACTACACCCCAGACCATAGTGATAGAGCTCATTCACAGCTCTCGCTCAGATTTCATTGCAAGGATGATTTCTCAGGACTTGGCTTAACCAGTTGATCTAGGATTTGGGTGTGGAAGGCGGAAATTTTGGCTTCTTATTTTTGTTATTTGGGGGGGAAGGTGTCCGTTGTGTTTAAGCCTCTTCTCCGCTCTGCCTTTGAGAAATCCTGCAGTGTGCCTGAGACCTAGGGGAGCTGCCCGGCCCCTCCCCGCCTCTCCCTGGCCTCCCCTACCTTTCTAAGCTGTCCCCCTGCCCCTGTGCCTTCAGGTGGTGGCGCTGGGGGATGTGCCTGATGGAACAGTGGTGACCGTGATGGCCGGCAATGATGAGAATTACTCTGCGGAGCTGCGTAATGCCTCGGCAGTCATGAAGAACCAGGTGGCCAGGTTCAACGACCTTCGCTTCGTGGGCCGCAGTGGGCGAGGTGAGCAGCAGGGAGTCTGCGCACCCTGACACCAGCAATGGCAGAGGTCTGGGAATGAAGCTGAGAGCAAGCCCTTGGGGTCCCAAATGGGAGCCCCAGAAACAAGTCCCTAGGCCTGGCTTGGTCTCAAACAGCCATTTGGAGCCCCATGGGGGTGTCACAAAACCCTTGGAGGATGCGAGTCCTTCGCCAGAAAAAGACACAATTTGCTCCCAGTTTCTGGGGTTTAC